GTACGGATGTATGGATGTACGGATGTACAGATGTACGGATGTATGGATGTACGGATGTACGGATGTGCCAAGAGCGTCGTAGAAGAGGTAACGACCCTGGGAAAGAGCGGGTTAGAGCGAGTACTCTAAAAATTATAATCCATAATAAAAATCCATAATACACGTGTACTTCTTTTAATCTATGCTAAAAGCCACACAAAGTATCTAATTTTGTTCGGACTTGAACTATGATTTTTTTTTCCAATAATGAACTCAATAAAGAATCAAGGAATTCATTCAATTTGTATGATTGTTGTTTAGCCTGCTACCGTTTACTAGTATTACTTGTATGTAAAATATGTCTCATGTAAACCCACAATTGAAATTATATTTCGGTTTTGTATTGAACAATATCACACAATGACTGTGTACAATTTAGACAATCTACCTAACAAGAGTCATACGCATTATGTCAAACTTAGATAACAACCCAAAGGTGCAAAACAGTATTTTGAGAGATAAAAGATCTTTACCGTGTACGGATTATACATTCCCATAACTATAATCTTAGAATTTTGATACAATTATTTAAAAATTTAAACAAACATAAATACACTTTCGATGTCGGGAGTCACAACAAAATTCTACACTGGGCATCGAAATTACACATCCATACAGAGGCATATGATACAAACAAAACTTACCGCTGTGTATATATACTAAGTTCCTACTGTAAAAAAAGATCTTGTAGAAAAAATATAAGGACATGCAACAAACATTTTAAAAGATGTATATAAAAAAATCTTATTCGATTAGTATTTTAGTAGTTTGTTCAGAAATTATATTTTTACTGGCGACACAATATACATGTTGTTAATATTAATTTTATAGAGTATTTCTGACTATGAAAGTTTTCTTGTATTGTAAATCATGTCAATGATGACTGTACACTTATTAAATTATCTAGCCAATAATATTAATTATTGTTCGTGTTTAAACAACAAAATCCAACTTTTACGGATTTTAGGAGAAAGGGAAATATGATGATATATTTGATATAATATTAATTATTTGAACAATTTTTATATAGATTTATATTTTTTTACCCAAACTGGATCAACGTAAAATTTTCTTTTTAATATCTCCATCTTCATAGTTTAGACCAAAAAACTGAGTTTAAGGCATACAGACATAAAAGTACATCTATAATAACCAACAAAAATCCTAATAATTTTACTAAAGATTGCTACAAAACAGATACAAAACACCTGGTTGTCTCAAATTTCCCATGAATAAAGAAGAAGTTGAAATTCACCCACTCTTCAATATAAGGCTCTTTCGTAGACTTTTGTTCCTATGATTTTACGCAGGGTAAATAAAAGGGGTGCATTTCATATCGGACTGTTCGTTAAGTTTCATTAAATTTTTACTGTAGTATCTAAATTTAAGGTACTTTTAAAACGCTATGATGACGATTAATAACTGTGAAATCCACTGTTTATTTTGGCAAATATGACTGAAACAGTCCTATTATTAAACTCATTAATTGTACCACATCTTCTAGCATGACAAAAATGAAGATAGGAGCCATGAATGAGTGATAAAAATCGTTATGTACTTGACAAACAATTATCCTTTCAAATTGATCTGAAATGTATACTATTTTCTCCTTTGTCTGAATATTAAAAATCAAAGTCGTTCAGTGTTCAAGAAAATTCTCTTGCAATGTTTGGTGGAATAATCTGTTTTCAGAAGATAAACAAATTATTCAAGTACAATTTAGTTTTCACAAAACGTTGCAACACATTCCCAAGGGAAAAATTTAAATTCATCGTGGATTTGGCAAACGTTAAAACCATAAAAAGAAATCCTCAGAAGTTACATTTGCCATTGATACGTTACACTTGCCATAGAAATACGTTACACTTGCATCGTGGAGGTGAAAACAAAAAGAATATACATTATATATTTAGAATCCCAGATAAAAATTATAAAAGTTGTTATTCTAGGGGGACACAAATACGGTGTCAGATGTAATTAATATAGCGATGCATCAATTACTGAAACCTTCAAATATATACATTTTGCTTTGGTTGTTATATTTCCCCAATTCTTTATATAAAATGTATAAAAAACTTACAACTTTATTTATGCTTGAAGTAATCATCAAACTATTTTCTAATTTAAAACTGTTTGGGTAATATTCTAATTTTCTAATTTGTATTTTATAAAAGTTTTATTTTGACTTAGAAAGTTAAGGGAAAAATAAAATGCGGTTTATATATAGGATATCAGTACTGTATTTACATTTCATTACTTGAGTTTCGTTCGGTACACTTCTTAAAATTCGATCACACATGTAATATGAACAGAGTCAATTATATATTCCATTCTGGTTTTGTAATTTTTTTCGTACCCAAACACCTATTCAATCTCTAGAATACATTAATATCGAGTAGTGACCCTCACACCTGGCACTTCATGACTAGTGACTCCCCCCTTACAAAAAAAAAAAAAAAAAAAACTCTTGCGATCCCCAAACTTGGAGGCCTAACATGTCAAATCCTACATTATAAAGTTAACATCACAGTTAGAAAAAACAATAACATTAATATTTATCTAAACTACACCAAAATATACAGCTATGTCACACAAGTACTGTGAAACCTGAAATCTTAAAGAACGGAAATACAATTTATAAATAATCTTAAAACTTTTGAAAGGCAAAAAGTTTAACGAACTGTGCATTTTGAACCGCAATCAAGAAAGGTGAATAACTTGATTTCTTATTCAACGCAGAATCTTTATCACTCACACTTGTTTACTGACTTCGTTATTGGAATAATTTAAATTCTAGAGACGTTTTCCTATCATTCGAACAATTCTGTGGGAAATAATGTTGTAAAATGGTCGTAAAAAGTAAACTCTAATCTAATCTTTCACAGCTTTAAAATTGTAAAAATACAATGAAAAAAAAATTACCGTAGTAGGCCTATGTATAAAATACAGAGTGAGTCTTCCAAGCTGTCCTAAACAGATTACAGACGAACGGCTTGACATACAGAGATGAAACAAAACTTTTCCCCACTAATTCATACCCAAGGTACAACGTAAAAATATTTTTGCCATTTTAAAAATACAGGGTGTTTTTGGAGAAACTGTGGGTCATGGGTTCGAATCTTAGAGTTTTTAGAGTTATGTACCATTTTAAAGCTCTAAACTAGACAAACAATTTAGTGAAAACGGAACTCCTTTATATTCATCCGTTTTAAATGGAGGAACTAAATTGTTTGTATAGTCTAGAGCTTTAAAATGATACATAACATGACATATGTTTACATTTGAAAACTCTGAGATTCTAACCCATCCCCCTCTGTTTCTCGAACACCCTGTATTTTAACAATACAGTAATACAAATATTTTTACGTTGTTCCTTGGGTATGAATTAGTGGGTAAAAGTTTTGTTTCATCTCTGTAAGTCAAGCCATTTGTCTGTAATCTGTTTAGAACAGCTGTTTAAGACTCACTCTGTATAATTGAATTTGGATTCTGTATTAGAGTGGATAATTCCATCAGTATGGGCCATCTGTAGCTAAGTTTTTACTCAAAGTAAACAATATTCCAATAGCCTGTCATATAGTTTACTGCTATTGGATTTCAGATGTTTTTTTGTTTCATGATACTATAATACTTTATTAGGACATAACAGATTATACAACTTATAGTAAATCGTTCATTATTTGGCATTTAGATTTGTGTAGGAAAAATAAAAATACAGAACAACACATTCTGTCAAAGGTTTAGTAAAACTAATATTTGCCTATTCTGAAACTAGCAAAAAAATTATAAAGTTAATGTATACCTCACGATACGGCTAACGTTACAGATAAAGTATAAACCAACGCTATTTTAATACTTAAATTGAAATACTTTTTTAAATACTTTAAATAACACTACTATTTCATAAAAAAATATTTATTAGTTTTATAACTCATAACGTAATCAAATGTAATAGTTGATTTTTAAAATATTTTAATTTAATATTGAGTTTAAAGTTTAAAAGGTAATAAACAAAAAATAAATTAAACATAATGTAAAGCAGCAAATAATTTTCGCTACACAAATCAAACATTGATCATGAGTAAATCCCTATGAAAACTGAAAATACCGGTTTCTTTTCTAAAACCGTATTTTCTATTTACCAAGAAACACACTGCACACGTCTAGTCTCATACATAGACATCACCTTCTGGAACGAACAGAGGCGATAACAAAGTTATAGAAAACTGGAAAAGTGTCATTTCGGTGATCGCTGTTTCAAAGGAAAGACGTGCTTTGGAAAACAAGAGTGAAGCAATTATGAGGCTCGGCGTGGCCAGAATAAAAGTGATGGAATCTCGTTAAGTGAAGTAGGCAGAGTGTGGTAGGTCAGTGAATGAACAGCTGACTCAGGGTGGGGGGGAGGGGGGGAACACGTGCTGATACTACGGTGCTGACTGCTGAGCCAGTCGACGCGCTGACACTGGTGCAGCACTACTGCTGACGAAGTATGGCGCGATCGTCGGGGTGACGAGTTCGTAGTGTTTACGTTTGTGATGTTTATTGTGCGGTTGTTTACGTGTGATATTGTGAGGTAAAATACGTTTTAAGCTTGAATATCAACAATTTAGCCTACCTTTGGTCGTAAATTTGTATTGGTAATAACTAGTACGCTTATAAGCAAATAAGAATTAATTATTTTACTTTCTTGTTTTTATAGCTGAGCGAAAATTTTTTAACGTAGTAATTGAACGATTAAATGTTAAAATGATAGACTATATACACTCGTATTATTTAGAGTATGTGAGTTTTTAAATCGTCATACCGGTATACTTATTGCAAGATTGCGTTCGCTAACGGGTAAATACAACAATTTTAGCAAAAAATGAAGAGGAGAAGTGTTGTGACACGAGTAAGGATTATACCACGATAAGTGAGTATCGTGTCGTGTTTCTGGTTGAGTGAAGACGAAGTTGAGTACGATGAACGGTTCTAGCAGTTATGTGGGAACTCTGAAAGCTTGTGTCGGAGGTGGCGCACCACTTAAAACCTCTAGTGGAAGTGGCGCACCACTGAAAATCTCTGGTAATAGTGGCGCACCACTAAAAACCTCTAGTGGTAGTGGCGCACCACTGAAACCCAACAGTGCTACACTTAGTGGTGCTCAGTGTACTAGGACTCTCAGGCTCAACGGGCTCACGGTGACCGCGACGCTACCGCCAAAGTCATCTCCGGCTTCCGACCCAACCGGTAAGTGTACAAGTGTACATGAAGAGTATTATCTTAACGAGACCCTCTAATTAATTTAAATTTCAAAACATCATAAATTTAACACAATTATAGGAAACCTACGAAGTTAGACTTACTACATGTAAGTAATTTATTTCTCAACTTCTTTACTGTCCAAACTTGTTTAAATCTATAACATGAATCAAACGTGCATATTTAATCCTCAATAATTATTAATACGGTGCATAAGGAAGTGCCACCTTGATAATATATATAATACTTACGCATTCATTCAAACTAGTTAACATTATTTGTGATCAATCCAAATTGTAGACTAACAAGTTATAAGAGAGGGGGCATCAACTAGTTTTTGCTCACTAAATTAAATTGATTGGTATTATATTTTACTATTACTACAGTATATTATACTACGGAAGTTTCCAATACAATTTTTAACTTGACAAACCCTTCACTGTTTTTACTCATACATAATTGGCCTCATATAAAAGATCTCACATTGAGGAATCTTTTACTACAAATACATACCACCAAGCTTTCACATTTCTCAACTATCTGCAGACTATGTTCATTGTATAAGCAGGTTGCATGCTAATTAAACTGTCAAATATTAACCTAGAAACCAATATTAACAGGGACGCATATGTTTACTTTGTTTAAACATTAGTTCGATGCAAAAGTTTTGTAACAACAGCTTGATGTATATTCTGCTTGGTTTGTAATTACAGGTTTAATCCTATTGAAAATACCAACATCTTTCATATCATAAACTTAAGAAATGTGTGTAATTCTAGTTGCTGTAAAAAACGTAGTGGATACAGTACGGAATCAACATACAATTTTAATATAATTAAGTAAGTTATTAGTAAGCTGTATAAGAAATCATATTTTAACCATGCCAATGAATTTAAGCTAGTTTACATTCAACCCGTAGCCATGGTAGTATTCCCTGGTGTTGAATAACGTCCGCACGAGTGAGTACTACGACTATGCGCAGTGCTATCCTGATAATTAGACCTATTCGTATATACCAAGGCAAAAATGTGGTTCAGATTCCACTATAAACTGTAGGTCCCTTAGTTGCCATTAGCTGTATGGGCTATTAATTAACAGCTGTGTCTAAGGAATGTCGGCCTTAGTCACTTACAAGACTACAAGATCGCGCCACTCATCCTACACTCATCTCCATTCATACTTGGCTTAAAATACCTACTTTGGTCGCCATTTAATAAGAAAGAAAGAAATAAAGTAGAGAATATACTCATAAAACAATGTTTAGAGTTCATAATTTATCACGCATTTGTTAAATAAACAGAACACAACACAACTGCTTCCAGAAATGTTTTAAACCACTGTAAATACTTTTACACGCAAAAATGCTAATTTTCATGCCAGGCTCATTTACTAATGTATTTTTGTGAGACAAAGCGTCAGAGGGTAGAATGGCGCATGTGAAAGTAACGAACGTGGAGGGATGAGAAAGACCGGCCTTTGAGGGGTTGAGAGGTGCTTGTGTGACACCGACACAACCGACACTGTCTCCTGCTTGTTACACGGTCACTACTCGTCGTGCTACAACGTGTAAACAAATGTGTCACAACGTGTAAACAAATGTGTCACCTCAGATGTGGGGTTAACATTGTTTAACCATATACCTGAATTTGTGGTTGCAATAGGTTGTATAGTTTTGTAAGATGTTATGATCGAGTGAAGCTAATTATTTTAGTAGTGGTAATGTTAGCACAAGGTGTACTTTTAACTGTTCAATATTTTATCGTATTTATTGTGTTGAAACAAAAGATGCAGCTAGTTGTTGCTATTAAATAAACTAATAAACAGGAATTAGTTCATGTGAAATACTACAAACATATACAGTTAGTTAATTCAGATAGTAAATTATGCAAAAATATTAGTAGGATTTAACGAACATGAATAAGTAAATATCACAAAAAGCAATAAAGCAAAATATTAAAACAGTATACTTTTATGTTAAGGGTCTTTCATACTTTTTTCAGCCACATAAAATATAAATTTTGTATTAACAATAAATTGCAATAGAAATAGGAATGTCTAAAATACATTTTGACTAGTCATAGTTTGAAATCCAGCAAAAAATTAGGTCAGATCGGATTGAATATGAAGTCATAATATTTGAACGCTTGTCACTTTATCTCGCTGAAATGCAATTGCAAGTTGGATGAATGAATGGCGTCACAATTGTTGTTCACTTTTATAATCCAATTAATAAACTATCTGGGAAAAAGGTTTTATTGTATGTATTTAACTAAATAAATAAAATTACACGTGTCTGAATCCGATGTATAACTAATTAAATCAGAAAAAGTTAAAAATTGATTTTATGTAAACAATCTACTATTATGTTTACCCGTTTATTGTCAACACGATCCTTGGTACTTCACAAAGACTACAGCTGTTTCATGCTGCGAATGGAGCACATCCTCTGGCCAGAATGTCAACAGGTGTCTTAACATTCTTCATCTTCAGATAATTGTTGTTACCATACACACATAAAAATACACAAATACACACAAAAAATACACATATGTGATTAGCATGGAACATAAAAATAACGAAAATACAAGAAATGAAGCATTTAAAACTGAGCAACCTGACAATAGATAAGGTGCAGTCGGAGAGTGTGTCGCGACCCACAACCCAATTATAATGTTTAAATAAAAAAGAAATGATTCCGGGGAAAAACAAATATACTTATTGTGATATTAAGTAGGTATGTAACGATGTAACATATCTTTTGCATTAGCCTTTGTTTCCATCGTACGCTTGTCAGAATGTTTAATACGTGTATCTCACGGGACATCTGTTATTTGATTTTGAAATAGTATATTTCGTACCTAGGGCCGAAAATGAGGTTTTACTGGCTCGAGACGAGAGCTGCAAAACCATTTTGGTCCGTCGTACGAACGCTATTTTTCACCACACTGTACCCTATTACCACTATAATAATGCACACTGATAGTCAACACAACTACAATTTTAAGGTTATGTGAATAAATAATTTGAGGAATCAGAAGAAATAATAATAAATAGTTGCTAGAGAACGGTGACAATAAAACAATTCTATTGCAATGCTATGGATACTGATTGTGTATTTAATATGCATTCATGTTTTAAGTAAGTTTTAAGTAAGTAAGCGGGCAGCTGATTTTGCGGCCCTAGGGATGTAAAAACCTGCTCGGTCCCCAAATAACGATGACAGCTGGCATGGAAAACGTAACTTTCAGCCACCAATTAACGTATGTAAAACCGCTAAAAACATCATAGTGTAGTGAAAAATGTGTTTTATAATACTTGCCCATTTAATTATACGACTTTTTACTGGCCGGTCTGTCAAATATGGGGGAAAAGCATTGATAAATAGGACAAAAATCTTAAATAGGTTTAGGAACTTTGGTAACTAAATCGATACTTTTTTTAATCATCCCTAATACAAAAACTTTAGCTTTAAATGACACGTCATTTTCTCTTTTGATAGGCGGATCTAGAGCTGAAAACTAAGCCCGAGACACTGGGTAACGGAATTACAACTTACTAAATGCTATTGATAACCTTTCTCAGGATTTGATCACATGTCTCAAGTTCTGAATTCCAACCTATCCTAGAGCCGTCGCCGGTTTCACTAAATTAATTTTTAATACGAATTGGCAGCGTCTCAAAAATACATAGAATTTTGATGTACAGAATGTTATAAACTGTAACGTTACTGACATACATTACTGTGCTTCCAACATTTATTATAGTTTACAGTCGTAGAACTGCAAATAATACACTCACTAGGGATGTGACCGTGTTTTGTTTAATTAATGTTTATGCTGCAATGTAAGAGATATGTTGGGTCAAGCGTCCATGCAGAACTCCCTAGATAGAGTGTTGTATTGTCAATCGTTCATCTTTATGAACCCTATTAAGTGGACAGTAAAATAATGTTCAATCCAACACCAAAGGTTTACTTCTTGTGTTATTAGTAAAAGCTAAACATTTTGTAAAATTGGAAAACAGTGATTATCTGTAAACGTCTTTTATCTGTTGCAAAATATATTCTAAAAACTATAAAATATCAGATTAACTATTCTAACATCAAGTCTTTTACAATGGTTCAGCTTTAAAAACATTATCAATGTACTGTAAAGATGCTATTAAAAAATGCATATTTTTCTATTTTCTTATTGTTTACTGTGACAGTAATTCATGATTATTTAGGCCTACAATGGTTTTCAATAACTTGAGACGGTAAGGTCATGTAAAATTTTGTACAAATAGCACCAATACTTGAGCATAATAAAACTTTATATATAATTTGTTTTATTACATATTTTTTGAATAGACTTTATAATATCATGACAATTTTACATATTATGTAGGCCTATGTTTATTTGCTTAACGCCTCAAACAAATTAAACACCATGAGCAATGCTCGGTCCCCTACTACTGATTTATAATAAAGGTTGTATAGAACATTAACGTATTAAACAAGGTATACATTATACATAACTAGCGTGAAACTAAACTGTATTGTTGTAGCAAAGTGATAAAGTCGTTTAAGCCAATCTTTGCTCGAGTTGTATATCAACAGAGCCATTTAAACGCTGCCACTGTAATTTTTCAAGCTTCCGTATAAACGATGGTTTAACCTGCGAAGGTTTTGTCTCTCACCCTTGGATTACAGCTATACTGTAGTTGAGTGCACCTTTTGTAAAAATGACACATGAGTGTAAAAATTTTCTGAATGCAGGATATTTCGAATATCACGCATCCTCCTTTTATTGTTTTAAAAGTTTACTAGTAAATACGTCGATTGAAACCTCACATTGTTCACTATAAAATCAATAGTCATTTTGCTAGAATATATTTAAGAGGTAAAATTCGATTACTAAATATTTAAAGTGCAAGTTTTAAATACGTAAATTCCTTTAATGGGATGCTCAAGCAAGTTTTAAAATTAAATTTTCTTTGTTTAACAAAAG